AGCACGACCACCCAAAGTCGTAGTGCACCCCCAGGAAGATGTTGCGCGACACCAGCATGGCCCTCTCCACGTAGACATCCACCGCGTACCACACGGAGCCCACGAGGCCCAGGATGCCTGCGAGGAACGGGGCTGGTTACGGAAGAACAGGACAACCCCCTCCATGGTCCCCAAGACCCCTGTGGGACACGTGGTCCGTCTGCCCCCGAGCTCTCCCGGCCACGCAACCCCCAGGAAGATGTTGCGCGACACCAGCATGGCCCTCTCCACGTAGACATCCACCGCGTACCACACGGAGCCCACGAGGCCCAGGATGCCTGCGAGGAACGGGGCTGGTTACGGAAGAACAGGACAACCCCCTCCATGGTCCCCAAGACCCCTGTGGGACACGTGGTCCGTCTGCCCCCGAGCTCTCCCGGCCACGCACTCCCCACGCCGAGGATGCCGCCGGCCCCATAGCACATCTTCAGTTTGATGCGAGGCTCATCCTTGAGGAACTTGATGCAGTCGAGTCCGAGCATCAACGTGGCCAAAGCCAGGCCGGCCAGGAGGTCGGCTGAGATCAGCAGAGTCCGTGTCACCACCATCTTCACTGGGCAGGGAAGGAGAAAAACCAAACAGAGAAGGGCTGGAGGAATGGTCAAAGGAGCTGGTCTCCCCACTCCTGTTTGCTGCCCTGCTGGAGTCCTCCAGCTCCCCAGTGGGCATGGCAGGGGTGGAACTGGATGATCTTGAAGGTCCCTTCCAACCCAAACCATTCCGTGATTCTCTATGTCCATGGAGATGTCTGCACTGGGAGCCACCAACCCCGTGTGCCACGTGCCGTAGGCACGGTGCTCACCAGGCTCGTCTGCAACCTTGCAGCAGGACTCTGGGTGCCAAACCGCCCTTGTTGGGAGGTGACACAGCTTCATGACCCCTCTCCTGCTTGGTGACCCCCTGGCAGGGACCATGGGTTGCTCTCCAGGCCATGCTGGTGGGGCAGGAGACCAGGAGAAGCCCTGGGCCTGCATTGCTGGCTGATGAAGGATCATCTCAAAAAGGGAAGAGGGAACACTCTTAGCTATGAACTTAAAAAATGCCTCCAGGCCACGCCAGCTTACCTGGGTGGTCCGCCAAAATGGAGTCATACTGGTCACAGGTCCTGACCCCGTCCTGCATGTTGGTGACGCACTCCCTCCAAAGCCCCCGGCATTTGTGACTTACCTGGAAGCGGGAGAAAGACACTCAAGCAAAAAGCACCCAAAAGCACCCCAGGTCCCCAGGGACGGCCCAGCCCAGGGAGGCTCCAACCACCACAGATGGACATGTCCCAGTGACTCCCTACCCATACCCCACTCTCTGCTTCCTGCTTCTGCTCCTGCATTTCTCAATCTTTCTAATCCTCTAAACCTCCAGCTCGTGCAGAACGCTGTGTGTTTGTCCCACCATGTCCCCTTCCCAAGCCCGTGGAGACATGATGCAACCCTATGAACGTCAAGGCACCCGCCTTGATCCCAGCTGCTCACCTTGACTGTGGTTGCTCTGCTCACCTTGGACATAGTTGCTCTGCTCACCTTGACCGCAATTGCTCTGCTCACCTGGACCGCAATTGCTCTGCTCACCTCCAAGCTGTCGCTCTGCTCACCTCCAAGCTGTCATCAGCGTTCACCATCCAGCAGTCGGTGCACGTGGCAAGGAGCAGGAAGAAGGTTGAGAGAAGAGCGAGACCAAAGGCCATCATCTCCAAGGCTGCACGCATGGGGTCACCTGCAAGGGCACAGAGCCGTCGGCCACCTCTGCTCTGGCCATCACCCAAGTCCCTGATCCACCAAGGACAAAGTGCCGCCTAGGCCAAGGTGTCCTCTGGATCCCCGTGAGCCATCTGGGCCCCATCTCCTGGTCCTCAGGGCTGACAAAATGCTCTTGCCGAGGTCGGGTCACCAGGGTTGCATGTGGATGGAGCCTCCAGGGATCCAGTTGTTCTGCAGTGGAGATGTACCCACCCAGCTCTGGGTGTCCTCTCTTCCAAACAGACCATCTGAAGTCACCGACCATCAGCACTCGCCCTTTGGGAACCAAGAGTGGCTGGAAGCTGTTGTCAAAGCACGTGTCCCCTGACATCCTGAGGTTTTCTTGATGCCTCCATCCCCGCATCCATGTGCTTCAGTGGGAAGATCACCTGCTTTTTTTTCTTGCCTTTTTTTTTTTTTAAGAAAAGCAATGAAGTGCTGGAACATCTGGGCTGGAGCACAAGCAAGTGTCCCATGGAGACGTTCTGATCTCAAATGGCAAGCCCGAAGAAAGCATCTCCCGTGGTGGAGGTGGGCGAGGGCTGCTGCGCTGGCTGTGGGGGCCCTTGAGGCAGCCAAGGCTTTCCAAGGACCCGAGGGGACAGGACCGTGTTTTCCATCCCAGCCAGAGATGGGCTCTGCTGAGAGGGGAGCTGTGCCCAAGGGGGGGAGCAGAGGACATTGTACCTCCACAGCCCGGCCATGAAACTCGCTTTGGTGTGTTTCACAACACAAGTTGCTCAATATTTTAACACCTGAAGTTGCAACTGCTGCGACAGCCCTTTGGGCAGAGGGATTCCCATGGGGGGGTTAATTCATCACAGAGTCCCAGAAGGGTTGGGTGGGAAGGGCCATTACAGCCCACCCAGTGCCACCCCCTGCCATGGTTCCTCATCATCCTCAAAGCCTCATCCAGCCTGGCCTTGAACCCCTCCAGGGATGGGGCATCCACAGCTGCTCTGGGCCCCCTGGGCCACTGCCTCACCACCCGCACAGGAAAACATTTCTTCCTCACATCTCATCTCCATCTCCCCTCTTGCAGCTTCAAACCGCTCCCCCTCGTCCTGTCCCTGCACCCCCTGATCAGGAGTGCTTCCAGATGGGTCTGTGAGCCACGTGGGTGAATTATTGCAGGGGGACAACTCTTCACCGTGGTGGGAAGGGAAGGGAAGGGAAGGGAA